AGGCGATATGTGCCGGATCCTTCCTATGTTATTGATCTTGACCCGGTTCAAGTAAGAGAAGACTTGTCGTATGATGTATACCCGGTGAGGATTGCGGATCACCGTGTTAAGCAGCTAAGGGGCAAGGACATCTCATTGGTGAAGGTAATATGGAGTTCAAGTGATGAAGGAGATGTCACATGGGAAACTGAAAGTAAAATGAGAGAATTGTACCTGGGGTTATTTTTCTAGTTTGTGAGTGTTTGGTTGAATTTCGGGGAGGAAATTCCTTAAAGGAGAAGAGAGTTGTAACGCCCTGAATTTTTGTAATATTAATTATTATATTTATATAAATCTAAATGCATATATGTGTGTGTTTTGACTTACTTGATAATGATGTTTATGTGTATTAAGTATATGGATGTGCGTATGCATGACTAGATAGGGCTAAAATGGGTTAAGTGTCTAAGTGCAGGGAGTAATTCTGGGTTGTTCTTGCAGCAGCAAGAAAATTCTCGCTATAGCGAGAGGGCCCTGAAAAGAAGGACCAAAATTGTCGCCTTCTCGCTGTAGCGACAGAGCGACAGTTTGGGGTGCATTTCTGGGTGCAATCTCACTGTAACGAGATTCTGCAGAAACCAAGGTCCAGTTTCGTCTGATTTTTTGCTGCAGCGAGGTAATATCTCGCTGTAGCGAGAGTGTTGCGACCAGGAAAAGAATTTAAAGGGAGTTAGGATTTGGGAAGGGTTATTTCTCCCACTCCCTTCGAATTCCCTTCGATCCTCTCATTCTCAAACCCTTTTCTACCGATTATAATGCCTCCAAAGCCGTTTGGAAGCTTGATTGAAGGTTGAATCCATGTGAGGAACGCTTGGAGGTGAGTTTTAATGGTTAGGATTCTGTTTCTCATCCTCTTTTCTCTGTTTCTGGGTTTCCTTAGGTTCTCATAGAGTTCTTCCATGTGTTTTAGGCTGCAATCTGTGTAGGGAGCACGTCCATGGTCGAATCTGAGTGTGGGTCTACAATTTAAGGTAAGGGGGGACTCTATCCTACTCTTTTGTGCATGAATTGTTGATATTCTGCTGAATATTGTGTTGTGGCTAAGTTAGTGGGTAGGAAATTGCTGAGAAATGTAATGTGGGCCATGTGTCATGATATGTAAATATTATGTGTGTTGATCTGAAATTGATGGATTTAGATTATGTAAATGTTGTGTGATAGAATGAGTAGAGGCACTTATGCCGTATATTTGAATGAATATTGTGAAAATGTAGGCCCAAGGGCCGTGTAATATGAATGATAATTGTAGGTTGCTTGTCATGTGCTATGAATTGAATATAGGTTGTGTGCTGTGTGCAAGCATGAATATTGCGTTCGTGAATGAAATGTATGTGAATGGAGCGTGTAACGCCGTTGTAATGTGTTGTGAATGGTTCAGCGATACACTGGAGGTGTGGAAGACGAGAACGGTAGAAATACCTTGGGGAGGAGAGAGTGGTGGTGACACCGACTGTGGAACAGGTGCACCACGGGCCACACACTCTCTTCCTGACTAGACCTCTGACCATTATTTTTGCTGAGCGACCCGTGACTGCCCACGTCGTATCCGTGAGGCGGGGGTAACCGGTGACCATTCATGGTGTAAATCTGTGATCACAGTGCCACAGTGAGCGTGGCTGACGTGTGTATGCACGAGTTTATGAATTGTACTTATGAATGTAAAGTGTTGTCGATGCCGTGAGTGCATCGGTGTTAAATTGACATGAGTTGTGTGATAATGCTGCATGTGATTGTATTTGCTTAATGTATTAGTAATGTACTGGAGGTGAGACTCTATGCTGACTATGTGTTTTTGGGTAGTGTAGAATACTCACCCTTACATTCATTTTCAGGTAATCAAGACGATCAACACCGGACTTAGTGAAGGGGTGGATGGAACTGCTATAGAACTTAGGATCTTATTTTAAAAAAGTGTTGTATTTGAATAAGTTCTGTAGCACTTCTCTATTTGAAATAGTTGATGAAACTTGAATTAAAAATGAAAATTTTATTATTTCAAAAATTTACGAAATTTTTTATTTATTGAAATTAAATTTAAGGTGTTACACAAAATACTCCAGCAAGCAGGACTCTCTCTGATAGAAGATATGTAGTAGAGATATTGTTCAACTCTAACAAAAAGGATTAAGGTTTTAATTTATTAATTTATTATTTTAAAACTTAATTGATTTAATATATTATTATATTATAATTTTTATATAAAATTATTTAATATGTTATTATAAATTTTATGAATCTTAAATAGGTTATTCTAATAGACCTAATAGGCTTTTTTTTAAACTCAAGTCTGACCTATTTAATTAATTAAGCTTTTAAAAAGTTTAAATTAAACTTATTAATTAAATAGCTTAGATTGAGTTAAGTGTACGGAGGGCAAATGTACCCATCGAGAAGTAATAAAGGAAAAATGTACCCATTAATTTTCAATTACTAAGAATTTTCTAATTCAATTGTTTAAGTCTCAAAAATACGAGATTGATTAAAAATAAGAATTTATAAAATCAATTATAAAACTAAGAGCAAGGAATATATTGCATGCCTTTGTTAAACTTATCGGAGAGGAACCTAGGGCATATGGGTTTTCTCATTTAATCCTTTATGTTATTTTTCTATTTAACTCTAAATTCAATTTCCTTGTGATTACCAATCATTCATACGAATACTATTAATATCCAATGGTCATGCAATATTAATATTCTTTTCTCTAAATTGACATCCTCAATGGTTATGCAAGACATTAATTTAAGAAAGCTTTAGGAGCCTACGAATTTGTTAATTTAATAACGATTAGAAGAGAAAGATTGGTTTGGTTTACCTAATCCTTTGTCTTGTTTTACCCTATAGATCTATTAATTAATTGAGGTACAGTCGCCTGACGATATAATTAATTAGGATTAAGAAAGAAGCGCAATAGGATAAAATCAAATCACAAAGTGAAAATCAAATTTAGATTCAAACATCAGAATCCCATAAATTCATGAATGATAGTTCTCATAGCCCTAGCTATGGACTTAGTTACTCATGTTAAAGAAAAGAACTAAAACAATCATAAACAAAGCCATAAAGAAAAGAAATAGCAAACTAGAGTATGATGAGTTCTCAGTCTTCAAGTACGGTCGCTTGAAGCTCCAAATCTCGCCAAGCATGTGCCAAAAATCTCGTGCAAGAGAGATGAGATGAGATTTATTCTAGAGCCAAAGCCAAGATGTCAAAAACTGGTCTAAAACGGTGTCTGAGATATTCCCTTTTATAAGATTTGAAAACCCTACAAACTCTTCATAATTGAGCTTCCCGCAGATGAGCACGGCCGTGCAAGGCCTTAAGCACGGTCATGCATGGGCTCAAAGCACCTCCGTGCTTGTTGAAAGGGTCTGAGCGTGCTGGTTGTTGTGAAACTCTAATCTTCTATCAATTTGGGCCCAAAATGCATCTAAAATCCACTTGCGGCCTCTTTATACCAAACTGCACAATTAATATATAAATTAATGTAAAATCAAAATAAAATAAAGATCAAATATAAATATATGGGCTGTAAAAGAAGGCCTAAATACAGACTTATCATTAAGCCATAGGCCCTGTCAAAGGACTTGTCCTATTTTCATCCCTAATTTTAAGTTATAGTACTTTTTCTTTCTTTTCTTATGCCTTGCCAAATAAGTGTCCATTTCTTTCTTTAAAAATATAAATACATTATATTAGTGAATTATTTATTAGCAACATCTTTAATGATAAATATTGTTATCAATATTTTACTTTTAGTTACCAAATTAATGTCATCTTGAAGACCAAAATTGACAAATGAAAAACTTATATATGACATTAATCATTATTAACTAATTTAGACTTAATTATACTTTTTACCTCTTTATTATATTTAATATACCATCTTAGTTTTTCTATATTTTTACTCAAATTTAATCCTTGATGGTTTTAATTATCACAATCAAATTCTTCAATAAATTTTCTTCTTTCTAAATCTCCAAAATTCTTTCTTTTTGAAACTTCTATCAATTAAATATTTTTAAATCCACTTTTATTAAAAATCCATTAATCATATCATATTTTTTCCAAAAATAGATAATCCCAAATTTTTTCCATCGTTAAAATTTTCATCTTATAAAATATTTCAAATTTTATTAAATTTATCTTCTAAATTGTTCAAGTTATTTTTTTATTTCAAATATCCTAAACTATATTTGAATAAAAAATATTGAAAATGATCAGAGAAATTAAAAATATTGGAGGATAAAACTTATGCAAGAAAAAATATAAGAAACTAAAATCATAAATTGATCAAAATAGAAATAATTCAAAAGACAGGATTCTTAAAAAGAAAAGGAAAATACTAACACGAGTCTTAAGATAAATAACTAATAATACTAAAATTTAATGAAAAAGAGAAACATATATTGTATATTTATAACTTTAATGTAATAAATGTGAGATAAATAACTAATAATAGTAAAATTTAATGAAAAAGAGAAACATGTATGGTATATTTTATAACTTTAATGCAATAAATGTCCACTTTTTTTTTTCATAAAATGTCACATTTATTGCAAAATCATTAGGCGGAGTTCACTTTTCATGAAGACTCTGAACATTCTTTGAAATTAGAGTTACTTTTAAGTTATATTTTTCATTACAAGTTAGTGCTTAGCACGTAAAATAGGTGACTTATGGTAAATATAAAAAGTAACACGTTACAATACCCCAGCTTCCGTATCTTCAACCACTTACAATCAAGTTACTGAGTTTGAATAGATGACAGGAGAATGTCAAAAGAAGAGAATACGATATGTTTTTTATATTTAGTTGAATCAAAAAATAAAGAGAAAGATGTGAAAAAAGGGCTTTTAAATACAGAAGTATTTCCTCACGTTCTCTTTTCAATTCAAAATTTCACTTTTTTTTTTCTCATTTTCTTTGCTCAGAGACAAATAGAAAGTTTAGGTTCTCACCCCAAAATTAGTCTTTCCTATAATGAAACTCACATTAGCTTGTGAGTTATGACCGTTCAGCAGTAAATATCAAAGTTAAATTATCGTCCACAGAAAAATGCAGGGAAGTAACCACAAGCATATATAGCCATTGCCATTAGAGCAAGGAAACAAACAGCCCTATCTCACGGTTTATTTAGCATATTTTAGGATGCCTGAGCAAGTATATCATCGTCCTAACTACTCATTCCTTACATTCCCAAATGATTCTCCAGTCAAGTAGTCAGCTTTACAAGCTGAAGCCCCTTCTCATTTAGAAGACTACTTTGATGTTTAGCATACACAACAAATAATTGACTGAGCCAACTATTTTCGTCCACGCTAACCAGGCAGCCAGGCATGCATACTTCAACTTGGAGACAACACCCCTACTTTTAAAACCCACTTCCACTTTCTCTTTTCCATATATTTTTTAGTTCATTTTTTACATAGAACAGATAAGAAAGCTTGATCTGATCATATTTAAACACAAAGTGCTTTCAGTTAGGCAGGAGCCCATTCAAAGTATGGGCAACGGGCACCTCTAGTTGCAGTCCAATTTCCACATCCAAAGAAGAGGCTCCCTTGCTTTGGCCCTGGCTTCCTAACCATGCCCCTACTGCTTTTCACTCCACAGTAACAACAAGGGTTATAGTGAAACATGGGAGTATTCATATCCTTCGCTTTGTGTGGGGAATGAGGGAAAACACCCATTTGCTCAGGTGACTGTTTCCACATCAAGGATTGATCAGCAGTCTGCCACATGATAGAGCTTGTAATGGAAAATTTAAAACCCCTGTGCATAAGCAGTGCCAGCAGGCGAGCAGTATTTTTGGCATCATCCAGGCCACAATGAGCACGGCCCTGCCACTCCAAACCTGCCATCTCAACAGCCTCCTTTAGATTACACCTTGCAGTGCCAAAAACCTCACAGAAAGGAATCTTTAAGTTGATCCAGCTAACAGAAGTTAAGCAGCAGATAAACAAGAGTCAGTTGAAAATGAATCCTGAAAAACTCAGAAGACAGCAATTACTTCTAACGATGCAGCATTTACCGGTTAAAATAAGGAGGCTTTCGTATTTTCTTGAATCGGCACTCAGATTCCAGCATCACCCGACAGTCCCAGTTAGACCATGTAACCACAGCAAAGTTGGTGTTCTTTATCCCCTTATTCTCAAGCCATTTATCATGCCTCAAGAGAGCCTCACTTAAGGTAACACCCCTGTCCACCTGAACCATACAGTAGTAGGGAAATCAATTAACTACCTTAAGTCCTCAGTCAAGAATGAAAAGGTGAATATAATTGATGAGTAGAAAGTGAATTTCTATAGGTCATGGAAAACTAGTAGTCATATGTAACAACTAGGATCGACAATAGTATGATCCTTCTACAATTGAATAATAATCTCCAAGCAGAATCCGAAAGGTTTCCCCAGGGCTGCTCAGCAATAGTCCTAGTCGTGGCTTTTAAATAACTCCCATCTCAGAAGTCAAGCATTTTAGATGTCAAACATTTTATATTTCGTATTTATGTAATTTCTAGCACAGACAACCAAAAAGGGTGAGAAACTAAGAGGACACCCAGAAAGTAATATTCTTAATGATGTGAAGGAAAAGTTTACATATCATCGTGACTGAAACCCTGTACAGCACTTAACATTCTTTTTACTGTCAGTTCAAAGTAATAAAGTGTAGCTATATGCTTTTCTAAAAACACCAAATGCTATCCATACATAACATCATGCTGCAGAGCAACGTGAATTTAGGATTTGGCTCAGAGATTCACTTTAGAGGAAAAAGTGAGGAGTTATAGCCATAATTAGAAAATCAACAGTTGAGCTGTGATGAAATGTTTGCACATATATAACAAACTATGCAGGCGTTTAAATCCATTGTTAAATGACTATTAGACTATAAACCCCTCATTTTTCTCTCTTAAGTGAATCCCTCGCTTCTGAGGAGAATACCCTTGAGTTTAAAAGGAACCCTTTTAATATTTGGCATTCCACAGATACCCAAGCCCAAACCAATTATATTATTAAATATAAACAAACACACAAATGGTGGAGGATAAAGATACAGAAATGCAGAATTGTGAGAAGCAACCACAGATACATACCCCAATTAAACCCATTGACAACATTATGATCAGTTCACAATCAACAGATAGTAAATTACTTAACAGTTCAACCAACATTCCTTTCCCTTTCCATTTCTAGAATAACCAACTGAACAAATTAGCAAATTTACAAATAACTTCCTAAGGATCAAATCCAGTTCTTCAATTTTTTGTTATCTAGTTTGAATTTAATCATTAAATTTTCTAGCTATTCCATTGATGCCAATAAAAAATTGGTTGGATGTTAGATTTCTAAACATATTGCATAACAAAATTGCAACAGAATAGGGTCAAATTGAAGTATTATACATGAAATAACTCAAACTAAATTGTAATTGCATGGTACATCAGACTTCAGGTCCATAGTTTAAACCATAAAAAATAGCCCAACATAGGGTGAGTTTACCAGAACGGTCTTTTCTCCATGAAAATCTTCCCCCCTCCCTCCCAAAAAGAGAAAAGAAAAGAAAAGGAAACAAAAGCTACAAGTCAACAAGATGGGTATGAGATGCCACAAAATATTGTTTTACTTGCACTAAGGGAGTTACTGTTTACAAATATTACAGAAAACAGGATACTTGGAATATGCATGGCAATGTCATTGTTAGTTCAATACCAACTTAGGTAACATTTCCACGTTGTAAGTGCAAACTTTTTCCCTAACACACCTGAATTTGCTGGATACCAGTCAGATCCTTGCAGAAATCACTCAGAAGCTGATGGCAAGTAGGCCTCACATATGTCTGAAAACATGCTTCCAGCTGACCAGTCACACTACTCACTATGACAGATGGAAACTCAATTATTTCTTGAGGATGGGGATTTCTATCCTTGTCACAGGTAGCCTCAAAGTCTATGACCACAAAATACTGAAATTCTTGGTATTGGAAATCATGAGAGTAACCTTCAGCAAACATATCCATTTGAACATACTGAAGCTGGTTCTCAACAGGATAAGGGTAAAAATGGTTCTCAAAAGCATTCACTTGGCTTTGATGCATCTTGTGAGAGTTATACCGGCAGGCTGCCCAGGTTCTGTAATCATGATGATAATTAGGTTTGCCATGAAATGCATTGGAAGGCTCAAGAAACTCACTGCCTAAAAGGCAGTCAGTTTCAGCAATATCCCCAGCTGAATAAGTACCAGGCTCATTTTTCAGTTCTGTAGTCAGGACATCCATAGAACTCCCATTATAATGCAAGTTGCAAGGGAATCCCTTGCCATGAAGGCACTTTAGAGATGCCTCACAGTTTATTTGCATTTTTTCTGCACATATAAAAGCAGGAAACAATATGACATGAATGAAATGTGCTATAGCATAATATTTGGAAAAATATTACATATACATGATCAGAAGTACACTACAAAACAGCATGCAAAAGCATATTTTACACACAATTCACATTTCCATGAAGATTTGGTTCACTGCTTGCAGAACTGGAAATATGTTTCAGCTTATCATGAGATGATAACTGACAAATCATGTAGGTTTCAAATCATAAAATTGCAGAATCAAAAATCCAAAGAAACCTCCTAACATGAAAAGGTTTTGCTAGCCTACAACATACATTTAAAGATTGCTACCCAAGAGTCCCAAGACACAATGCAACTGAAAAAAAAAGATAATTTACTAATGAGAGTTGACTCAATTGGCTGAAGGGATTCAGATAAGCTTGGAGCACTTGCCACTCAAAGTGCACAGGTTTGTATCCCATGAAAACCAGTAGCCTCACTTAGTGGTAATCCATCCTTAGGGAGATTCCCCACCCCGAATGGCATGAGGAAAAGTCCTCGAGGTAGATTTCTGCTGGCCCCAGGCTGAAAGAGAACTATTTCACCAGGCTTTTCCCGCAAAAGACCATAGTGATGATTGGGAGGGGAGGCTACAAGTTTGAGTCATGGCAAGTACTCCTGTTACATAATAAGTTTGACCTAAATTTAATCGATATCAATCATCTTTCTGAGGCATGACTTAATTCACTTTTGGAGCATAGAATAACTACTGTGGTAAGGGAACTCAATAAACTACATTATCAAAGCAAGTAACTTAGATATATATTTTAATTTCTAGTGATTTCATTTGAGCTAAAATCAATTTATTTTGCTTTTCCATCACAAGATCATTGACATTGCCTGTCAAGACTGTTAAGAATGCAATCTAACTCATATGACTGCATAAACTTATGCTTGCTCTAACGTCAAACACACACCAATTTGGTAAGGTGAGAACACATTAGGATTGTTGAGCAAACATGTGTAATTGGAGAAAATGAGTGATTTATTCAATCTAGGTGAGCCACCATTTATACAGCAATGCAAGTCATATTTTAAACAAAAATCCTAGCCCACCCAAACCATAAGCACCCCATGTGACCTCATCTAAAACATCCCATTCAATCACATTCTCTCACCCCAAACCCTAGCGCAACAGTTGGTGCTTAGTGTGTCTCTAATTTGTGGTAGTTTGACCCCCGCTTGGGTTCAACAGTGCCAGAGTGGCCAACAACTGAGTGGCTGAAGTGTTGAACCACTCTCTCGTTCAATCTGTTTCTGCTTTAGTGCTTGCTAGGATGGATATGTAGTGGTGCTCTGTTCCAGTGATTTGGTTCTGTGTCGGCTTGATTTATTTGTGCTTTGGTTTTGCTGGCATGAAAATGTCATCTGGCACTGCTGGTGGTAGTTTGAAAATGTCATTAGTTATGATTATACGGTTATTTTTGTTATTTCATATCCATATGCTTAATATGATTTAACATTTTAGATAGGATCTTAAGACCAATTCTGTAATAACATGTTTTACCTGTCTTCCCACCTTCTGATCCTAGCCCAGGTAGGATCTCAAGTTCAGTAACTGGATGTGCATGCTCTTGTTTTGCCTTAAATTAAGAGTTGTTATAAACAATGAAAGAGTTTGACACTGAATTGTGTGCTATTTGTCAATATAATTTCTGTTATTTTACATTATTACTACAAAGAAACACCAATAAGCCAAGGCTTAAAGCCCAATCAAACTCAAAAAGGAGTTTTTATTTGATTTCTACCATTTGTGACAAGAACAGTTTGGATTGAGGTTGAGCCTCTCAAATGACCCGATTGGATCATGAAAACCCTCCATTTAAACAAATACAAAACATCTAAATGTGCTGCACTTTTACATGAAAAACAATTCACTCAGTTAATTTTGTAAATTTGTATGTACTTGCACTGTGTTAACTCCTACCAGCAAAATATTGTACCACATGATCTGCAGATGTTAGGATACATGTCTGGAAAGTAAGCGTTAACACTTAACAGTGACAGGAAAGCTATAATGACCAAGAAACCACAAAACAGAAAATAAGGTGTTCAATTTTGCGTGTTAAAGTAAAACTCAGGTGAAGTCCTGATCTGAAGTTTGAATTGTTTGACGTTGTTTAAGATAGTTATGATAATTTACAGGCAATGAGATAGGGATACAAAAGTGATAGTCAAGTTCAGGAATTGGCAAAGAAATGACTCCTCCCTACCTAATGGAACAATACAGTTTAACACTAAAATGGCAGTGCCATTCAGTCGCAACTAACTAATCGACTAAACACTGTGAATCAAAGCATGCACTCAACAATGTTGTAACCCATCTTAATCTCAAGAACCCGGATAACAAGATCAGTTCTCAATGAACCTGCTGCAATTCTAAACCTACCAACAGTCCAAGGCAGAGAAATGGAAAGTCTGAACACCAATATTACTAAAAATGCTCATATAATCAATAATGCAACACCCCCCAGAGGCTACATTTATTTATAGTCCTAGCCTCCTACGGCTGTGGGAAAGAGGGGGGGTATAAATATAAAACCAATTTCAAAAAATAACACCAATTACCCTAAATATTTAACTGCATGAATTACGCTAACACCAATTATACATCGCATCTCATGAAGTTCACTATCTACACACCCCCACTATTCCTACATTTGATTAAGAGACATCTATTGACACCAAGCATGCAACTTGGGAACCATGGAGTCCCAAACTGCACTTCAACAACTCAATAAAATCAGAATGGAACCAAATGCAAAATGAGATGAAGAATTCGCACGCAACGAAAACGATTTGCCGTTGATTGGAAGGAAAACGACAATTAAAAAGAAAAAGAAGAAGAAAAGAAACAGATCAAAGGATTAGAGTGAGAGTGACAAAAACCTCGATTTTCAAGGGCCATCATGATCTTCTTCAATATAGTTGAGATCCACCAGCGAGTACATGAGATCCTCCTGCACCAAAAAATAAGATAATTAAATAAAATGAATTATAGTTCCATGTAGGAACCACAGAAAGGGTGCAGAGAGAGAGAGAGAGAGAGAGAAGAGAACCTGGTGTGAATGAAATAGAAGAGGGAGTGAAAGAGGAAATAGAAGAGAGAGAAAGGGAGAAGGATATATACGAAAGGGAAGAAGTGTATACAGTTGTTTCATTGAAAGAAGGAAATGGTTCAGGGGTTCATTGGGCCCCACGTAAAGTTAAGCAAATTAACAAATATCAAAGCTTCAAATTACACCTTTTTTTTTTTTTCGTTTTTTTTACTTCATCAAGAATTCTCCTTTTTCTGTTTTTTATGTATCAAGTATTGTGATCTTAATCCTTCGGAAGCGTTTCATTGGAGGATATTTTCTTAAGATTCTAAAAAATCTCAAGATAAGGATGTTTGATTTTTATATTTAATACAGTTTTTTAAAAGAAAATACTTCATAAAGTAATATTAAAATTTTATTATTTTTTATTTGTACAAAAATACCCAGATAAAAATTTAACCATTAAATTAAGATTATTTGATAAACTTCCTAATTTATCTTCTTTTAATAAATTTCTCTTTTACTCTAGGATTGCTGGAATAGTGAAATATTTTTTAATCGTAATTAAGTGAGAAAATATAATTAATATTATTTTAAGTTTTTATATGAACATATAAATAAAATATTTTTGTTACAATAGAGAGAATCATAATTAAATTTCTCATGAAGGTATAGTATATTATTTATTTATGTATAAAAAAGATAAAGTAATAATTATTTACTTATTTATAGACAATAATATATTAATATAAATTTAATGTATTAAATAATTACAAATTTTTTATCAAGTTAAGATTGTTTGATAAACTTCCTAATTTATCTTATTTTAATTATTTTTTCTTTTACTCTTCAATTATTTAAATAGTGCAATATTGTATTTATTGTACTTAAAATTTTTAAAAGAAAAATATTAATAAAAAAATATGATACTGTATAATTATTATTTATTTGTCTGTTTATAAAAAAAATATAAAATAATATATCAGTATAAATTTAATGTATTAATTATTTATAAATTTTATTTATTATTTATGCTAATATATAATTAAATTACTGATAAATTATAATATTGAATTTAATATTTATATGTTGTCATTTATAATAAATAAAATTCACAATTTAACAACATAAATTTAATATATTAATTATTTTATAATAAATAAATAATACTCACTCTCTTTTTTAATAATATTTTGATTTAATTATATTTTTAATTTTTATTAAAATTAAGAGGACTAAAATTGCACACAAATTACAATATATAAACTAAACAAAAAATTAAGCATAGTTCTTCAATAACTTTTTAAACAAAATTATAAGGGTTCAATTTTGCTGCATTTTGAATGCACAAATATTTATACTATTGATGAATTAAAATACACAGTGGATATAAATTTTATATTAATTATTATAAAAATTAATAATTTTTGTTGACATACCAATTCATAATTAAATTAAATGATAATATAAATAAATGAGTATATTTAAAATAATTTTAAATTATAATACTTTTAAATAAAAAATTCTACACATCAAATAACCAAACACCCTTCGTTTTGAAAAAGAAGTTTAGATAAAATCTATTTAAGATTTAGATTTTAAATTTTGAGCCCCAAAGATGGTGCGTAAGGGTGTAACTTTATTGACAAATGTTAGTATTTTATGTTATATATAAGTATTTTTAAATATAAATAAAGTTTAAAATACATAGAAAGCAAAAACAGGTTTAAAAATATAATAATTTTTTAAAAGTTTATTCATTCAATTAATAAAGCAATGTTATTGATAATAAATTTTAAACCAAAATGTAAAATTATAAGTATTAAATTTTAACATGGATAAATTAGTTTAATTAATTGGAACTTATTTCAATCAATTTAATTTTAATCAAGAAATTTTGGAATTGATTAAAAATTATGAAATATTATTTTTTGTGGGAATGTTTTAATATATAAATTTTACCAAGGTTAATTGTATATTTCCTTGTAAATTAATTATATTTACCATTTTTTATGTAGATAATAATATATGAAATCTTTAAAATTTGATATTTCTTAAGATCACAGTAAAAGTGAAGATTTTCTTAAAAATATTTTAGTTGGTTACAAAAGATCTGAGTTTGTTCTATTTAAATACATACACTAGGTAATAAATATAAGATATTATATATTTTTTTGTCGTTTCTAAATTTTATGTTTGAACACAAAAAATCGACATGATATTAAATATTTGTTTATGGTTAATTATATCTATCAAATTCCAAATTCCAAATATTTATGATACTCAGGTGTCACATTAAGAATTAAGAATTTTATAAAAAAAAAATTACTTAGGTGTTGCTTGCTCTAGTTTTAGAAGAGGGAAAGATTAAATTTTTAATTTCAAATAAATATATTTAATTTAATAAATTTTAAAATAAAAGATATAAAATGATACATAAAAATAAAATTAATGCGTTGTTTATTATAATAAATAATTTACAATTCTCTTACTTTAAAAATTAAAAATTTACCATCCCTTCCTCTTAAACAACTAGTTTGATTATTAGCCTAAAAAAAAATAATTTGAACCTCTTAAAATTTTAAATATTTGATTGTTAGCCTAAAAAAAAGTTAACGTTTGAAAGTATATATAGTTAATTATTAAAAAAATGAAAAAAAATTGAAACAAAGTTTTATTATAAATTGTTCTAAACATATAATTTATTTTGAATTATTCAAAACAAGTGTATTAACTACAACTGATCAAGGGGTTGTGATGAAAATAAAAAGTTCCTAAAAGGGTAATAATTAAATTTATCACATAAAATTATAATCTTACAATAATAAATATTTCCAAAACAAATATGTTTGTAATATTTAATGGAAAAACAAAAAAATTTAATAGAGTAACATTCTTGTAAAAATAAAATACAGGTAAGTTTCTTTATCATACGTCATATAAAGTATTTCTAGTTCGTCCTAATCCACAAATGGGTAGCGAGTAAATATAAAACACTGAAAGTAATTTATATCTTTAAAATTGTAGTTTTAGTTTAATTCTTTGTGAGTGGTGGATATGTGTCACTTAAATTCTATTTTAATATACATAAAGATAAAGTACTGTTATATTGATAATTTTTTCATTATACTAAAATTTTAAAACATTAAATATTTTTTAATAAATTTAAAACAAAAGTACTAACAAATTACTTCACCTAATAAAATCAAAATAAACATTTAAAGTAGTCCTAAATATTTTAATAAATTTTCAACTATTTAAGCTTTTTTAAAAAAATTTTCTATCTTTAAAATAAATTAACAATTTTAAATTTTATATCATAATTTTTTTATTTAAAATAAATATTATCTAAAAAGTATATTCACTATAAGAAAAGCATCGCAAGCTGTGAACAACCATTTTACTAACTCTAAATTTTATATTTGTAAGCTAAGTCATCCAATAGACCCATGCTGCTGACTCTGAATTTTGGCCATTAATTTTTAAAAGGGTAAAAAAAGTTACTATTAGCTAGTAAATTTTAGCATACTAAAATCAAAATAAATTTTTAAAATAAATATTAATAATATTAAATTAAATTTTTTAAATTTTCGTTCAAAATTACATGGAAATACTAAAATTTTAAATGATTAATTATTAAGATTTATTATTCCATATTAAATAACAAAATTTTAAAAATGAAAAAGTGTGTTGATTAATTAAAAATATCTGAGGGATCACGTGCGAATAGGGAAGTTGAGGATATATTTTGAGGAGGTGTTGACGTTACGCTCAAGTCTCGTGTGATCCATTCAATTTGCCACTTTCTCGGTGCTTTGAATCTTAACCGTAACCGTTTATGCTGTTCCCGTGGGGCTCATTTTGATGCCGGTAAGAAAAATAAAATCTCAAAATAAAGTTTTTGGAAATTTTAGCTTAAAAACATTTTTTAAATTTTAATTTCTTAATTTTTTAAATCAATTAAATTATTTATTTTTAAAATCAACTAAACTAATTTCTTAAGTTTTTAAATCAATTGTATTTTTTTTCTAAAATCTATAAATGTTTATTTTCTACTCAAAATATTTAAAAATTAAATTATCTTCTCTTCAAAAACCACTAACTAAAACCTCAAATTACATGCAAAATAAAACAAAAAACTTCAAATCGTATATCTTAAGATTTTTTCAAAATTTATGAGATTTTCACAATGTTATAAACTTTAAAATCATTTCGTGTCACAAATTTAACAAAAAATAATGATTTAAAGTAAGAAAAATTTTAAAAATTAAGTTTAATTAAGTTTTCTTAATTTTAAACTGAAAAATCATTTAGCTTAAAAAATTTAAAATTAAAATCAAATACAGTCCATATTAGAGAATCTAAAAGTAAAATTAAACCCTAAATTATTATTATAAATAAATCATGCTTATATTTATTAAGTTAACATGAAAAAAATCAAAATATTTTACCTATATAAATAAATAGATTTTATATATTTTTTATTTTTAAATTATATCACAATTAAATTCCTTTATGATAATAAAAAATTATTAAATAAATAAATGATAATTTCTTAATATATTAAAATGACATACAGGAAATATTGAAAAGCTTTAATTTCGTATCAACAAAATAAGAACTAATTTAAAACTAGTATAATAAAAATTTAATCACATTATTTTTTATATTTAATAAAATATTTTTATTTTTATTTTTAGCTGTTAAATAATTTGTCTAAAAAAAATTTATTCTATCTTATTAATAACTTATATGATTAAAATTTATAATATTTGTTGGTACATGAATTAAAATAATCAAAATGCTAATTGATTTTTTATTTTTTTTTCCTGTTACTTTCAATTTTTGGCATTTAGGTAATTAATAATTGCATAAATTGTTCTTGTTTTGGGATTTAGCTGTAATGCATTAATATAAAAAAGAATAAGAAGTTTGTGTACTATTTAAGAAATAAGACGATTTTTATGTAAAGAGATAAAAATTTACAATAAGGATATTTTTGTTAATTTCATAGTAAAATTGGTTTTTGATTCAAGTACTTTACTGAAAATATTTTTTATTGTAAAATTTAAAATTTTAATAAAATGATATGTAAACGTTTGTGTGTGTGTGTATATATATATATATATATATATATATGTATGTATGTATTTGTTAAGATGATGACCATCTAACTTTTTTATTTTGATGAAACAAGCACGTAATTAGATGAATTGAGGAAAGCTGAGAAATGT